CTTGAATGTGTTTCAAATCGTCTGCACCAGGTAGCAGTTTGTTAACTTTGGCGTTGCGTGTGCAAAACCCCACGTGTGACGCGCGATTTTAGGAAGTGGCTTCTCATCCATATTGTTGCTGTTGAGGAAATTCATAGGTAAGAAAAAAATAGCCAAATGGCAATTATGTTTAATGAACTTTGTTATATAACATGAATATAATCCACTCCACTATTAAACTAAATTAAAATAGTAATATGACATAAATATAATTGATCATATTTGTGTGTGCAACAAAAATACAAGTGATCTGTAACGTTATTCTTTGGGTTAGGCAAATGGCGTAACAGTTTGGTTTATACATATGTTTGTTAAGCCTAGTTGTTTTTACTTTAGTAAATTAGTATTTAGAAAATTGTATAGCAAGTTGTTGTGTGCAACTTTAAATTGTTAATTTAGTGCTGGTAGTTAGGTGAGAAAATATTGTCTATGAGGTCGGATGTTATGTGTGTGAAATTATAATCGTTTATGAAAATGTCGAATTTGTCAGTATTATTATTATTATGAGATACTATTATTAATAGTATTATGAGTATAGCCATAACTATTAACATACTATATCGTTATAAGTTAGTATAATTTATGAGACCAAGATTATATAACTATGATTATGAAAATATAAGTTTTATACTTATAGTTATAACTGGAAGAAGGTTGTAGATAATGTGATTATATATTTAAAACGTTTTGAGAGCAGTCAAGTTAAAGTTAAACATTGAATCTTAGTAACTTTCATGATAGTGTTTGGTTTAAAACTGATCTGCATAGGAATGAAAATGTCTTAGTTGATTATTTACATAATAAAACTAAAAGTTTTTTCTCAACAGTAGTTAACCATAATCTGCTCAGGAGTTTATTAGAATTATCAATTTGGAAAAATTCAATTACCTACATATTAATAATAAGATTTGAATTTTCAAGCTGTAGAGTTGGTCATAATGATTAGCCAAGAAAGAGAACAGTATTTTATTCCAAGAATATCATTGTGATTATTTTTTCAGATGGTAGTTAAACCAGCAAAACAAAAAAAAACAAAACAAGAACCATCTTTGAGACTTCTTTATAGTTAATGAAAATTCAGTAACATTTTTTTTCAAAACCCCTTGTACAAGTGATGATCATTAACATTTGATTATGAATGTTATTGCAAGTAGAACAGTAGTGATGTAAAGTAAAATACTATAAAGTTGATTCTGGTTTAATAAGAAAATTAATTAATATGAATAGATGTCTTAATAGAAATAGCTAAAGTTGAAATGTTTAAATTAATTGTGAAAAAATTATAGCAGTAGTAAAATAACTAAAAGTAAAAATGAATTAAGGAAAGAAAAAAACATATAATAAGAGGCCTTGAGATGTAAACATAGAGATGATTGGAAATGTATAATGGCTTGAAAAGTGAAAAGAATCATTAGGTTTGAGAAAAAAATATTGCAAAAACTGTTACATCTAATAGTAGAAAATTGTTTTTAGTGGAAAAAGGAAAATTGGATTTCCATAGCTGCGTACTTCAGTAGAATTTTTATCAAAGAATAAGATGGTCAGATTCTTCATTTTTAGTAATATTAATCCAAGGAATTTTCCTGTAATCCATTTTATAAAAAAGCAGCTAAGGAATTATTGCTGAATTCAGATGTTTCAAAATCACAAGAGCTAGGTAGTTCTTCCAAAACTTGTTTGAAATGGCAGGTATTATTCACCATACCTGTTTGTGATTTATTATAGTTCATTTAATTAGAATAATTAATAATACACAATGTTAAAGTAGGTACACAATTAAAAACATTTAATTAAGGCCAATCTGTGACCACTAAAAAGTTGACTCTACATGCTTCGATGTTGCAATATCATTTTGAGGAGTGAGTTGCAACACATAATCTCGTCTTATTTATACTTTTTTTGTTGTTGTTAAATAGGTCATGTGACCTATGTACAAGTTTACAATTTTTGTGTCAACCTTTTAAAGGTCACCCCACATTTTTGCGTAATTATTTGCCAGACCATCTGTATTTAATAATACATGATAGAAATGAAGGTTTGGCAAATATTTATGCAAAAATGTGGGGTGACTTCCCTAAAAAGTTTACATGGGAATGGTAAACCTGTACATAGGTCACATGACCATTTTTATAAAAAAAATTTTAAATAAGACACGATTATGTCTTCCAACTTACTCTTGAAGATGATGTAGCAACATCGAAACATAGTTAGCTTTTTAGTGGTCATAGATTGGCCTTAATTAAAATGTTTTAATTGTGTACCTATTTTAACGTGGTGCATGATTTATTATTTTAACAATATACATAAGTGCCAATAAATAACACTCAGATTAATTAATGTAGGTGTGTTACCTGAAGATTGAAAATTAAACAGATTGATGTTATATTTAAAAAAAGGGTGAAAAAATATTAACTCCAAACTATATACCAGTTAGCTTTACCAGCATTTTATGGTAAATTATGGAAGAACTTGTAAGAAAAAATAATAATGGAGCATATGGATAAAACTTGGCATTGAAGTTAAGATACTTGGTCATTGGACTAATATTTAGTACAGTAGGGGAGTTATTAACACTTTATATGGACTGTGTGAAGGGTTTTAAGGAAGTTCTGGGTATGCAGTAAATTGGAAAATTTGCATCATATCATATTAGTCAAAAAACATAACTGGAGTAAGAGCATTCTAAACAATCTTAATTTGTTTATCAAATTGAGATTGGCATAATGTTTGGTCTTAGGTTTCACATTGTTTGATTTTTATTAATGACCTCCTTAATGTCTTAGTTCAAATGTTTACTCTCAGTTGATATAAACTGAGAAAGATGTAATAACTGTTCAAAAAAGATCTATAGGAGTTTATCAGTGGAGTAAAAATGGTCATTGAAATTTCATAAGGATAAATACAAATTACACCCAATTTGTTCTAGATTTATACCTCAAGGTTTATCCTTACAAAACTATGAATTGTGATGGACCTCACATCAATTTAAGAGTTGTGTTCAGTGAAAAGGATTTGAAAATAACTGTGGAAAACCACCTTTCATTTGAAAATTTTGTACAAAGTCATTAACAAATTTGAAATTGTGTAAATCTTTTAATTATTTGGATATTAACACATTCAAATAGTTATTCAAGACCTTAGTTAGTCTGTCTACATTTAGAATGTGCATGCAATGTGTGGTGTCAGTATCTTTAAAGGAGATTGAATATTTGAAAAATGTACAAAAATAGTGCAGAATTTTTCCAGAATTTGAAAACCTATTAACACTTGCCCTGGGTATCCTTTACTGTGCATGACACAGTTTTAGTGTCTTACATTCAAAATTTTATTAAACTGTATCCAAACAAACTTTTTTTTTGTTTCTTATGAAATTGATGTCTGTCATGTGTAACCCTATTTTTCAAACAATTTGAATAAAATAATAATTATTAATCCATTGTTATATTAAGCTGTTTTGTTGATTCTAATAGGCTTATACACCATAAATTGTAAAACAATTTCATGGTTAATAGCCTATATGGTCAGAGTTCTAAAGTTAATCAGCCAGCTGAAATTTAGGCAAAATTGTACATGCTTCAAATAATGCTCCTCAGCAGCAAACATGCAGTGAGATTTGACCCCCAGGTCAATGTTTTCAACTGTCAGCTGTGAATACTGTATTTTCTATGTTCAGCTGTTTTGAGTTTGTTTTCTAACTTAATGGTTGATCTTTTCCATACAAGCTCTATTTCATATCACTGACAATAAGTGCCATGATGCTAAAGCCATTTATTGCACATTGTGTTTTAGCAGGTCATACCCCAAAACAACCTGATAAACCAGTTTTGTTGGGTTGATGCATCGTGACAAGACGCAGTCATTTACAGTTGA